GGCCTCGAGAGCCCCAAGAGAGGGGCAGTATACTAGAGAGAGCCCGGAGTGGGCACAGAGAGGGAGAGCCCAGGAGGGGGCACTTCCATAGAGCGTACGGAGTAGGCCCGAGGGAGCGGGCGAATTGATTGGCGACAGGACAACGTCCAGAACATCTGCGAGGCTTGGGGCGTGGTATTAGGGGTTGGTAGGAGCCACGCGTGGCCCTAAGGCTAGGGTGCCTGGGGAGCACCCATTATACAGGGATCCCTGGGGGGGGTTCAGGAGAACACGGGGACCATGGGGATGGAGGTCCCGATTAGCCGTGCCCAAGGAGGTGTAAGGCAGCCTCCCGAACTTACTGAACATCAAAGACGTGGCGGGCGAGAATAAGAGGGTGCCCTTGGGCCGGACTTGACACGGTGAGAGGGACCTCAGGGAGATCACGGCCCTCCTGTGGGACCCCGCCGTGACAGTGTTTGTATACCTAACAGTGCTATAATATTGCACGGTACCCTCTTCACCCTTAAAAGCATCTCATGACACTGAGATGCCACAGTGATGACACTGGGTGCCACAGTGTCCTGGTTGAAAATTGTTGCTGTAGGGTAGCCAAGTGTTTGGGACACTTCCATAGTTATTGCACTATCAGATACTGATTGGGGGACAGAGCCGTTACTTCCTGCTGTGTTGTTTCAGACCATGGACTGAACCCGAGTCGTCTTCATCCTGTGTGAATGTCCTAATCATTGGGCAATAGGGGCAGAATCCCTTTCTTGTACTATGTATATTTAACTATTGAGTCATAAAAGAAAACTTCAGCAAGAGAGAGAACCCGGGATAGAAAACAGTCTGCTGAGTAGATTACTCATGTTAGAGGCAGGAGACTGAGTTTCAAGGTCCTGTTCTGATTTAGCTAGGTCTCTTGCATCCCAGGTAATCCTTCTGACCGCTAGGCAGTTGTAAGATCTTCGGTTCATTCTAATGTGGAGCAGGAGAGGTTTAAAATGGGATGGGAAAATTGTTTCTCTTCTATTTGAACTGAAAGTGACTGAAGAAACAAAAGTCAGTATCAGTTTCTTTTTAACAAATCAAGAAAATAAAGGTTCAACAACTGACTAGGATTGTTCTGTTGGTAGGGAACATCCTCCTGATTCTGCTTGAAAATGTAAAGTTAAAAAATACCAAGGGCAAACTTTTCAAAGGTAACCATTGATTTTAGATGCCTGACTTTTTAGGTGCATAATGAGGTATACCTTAAAGAGGCCTTATTTTCCAAAGGTACTGAGAATACTCTTTCATTGAATAGTGTATGATGTTCTAAACTGAGCACTCAAAAAGTAAGGCCCATAAAATACTTTGAAAATCTGGATCAAAGATTTTAGTGATGACCACTGGTTTTTCAAAATGTATGTGCTTTTCTAAAGACTAAGAAACCAAAGTTCGATCCTTTCTGCTACACATCAATAATTGCTGTTGATTTCAATCCAGATACCTAATCTTCCAATTTACATAAAAGAAGAGTATGATAAAGTTTACAACCACAGTTTTCTTTTGCAACTATGTTTGTTTGTTTTTTAAGGACAGGGATAGCTGAAATATAAATGTCAGTGTCAGACTTTCTAAATGCTGATTTTTATTTTAGATTATTTGTTGGAGGTCCTGAGAATTGAAGATTTACAAGCAAACAATGAAGCTCTTCTTTATTGTATGGGGGCTATAAAATTCATTTCTGGAAATGCAGCTCTTCTTAATGAAATGGCCAACAAAGGAGCTGTGGAAATACTGCTGCAGTTAGTGAAGCAGATTAATAACATTAGAGAAAATGACACACACTTCTCCAGCTTGGGTCATCTCTTAGTCCAGGTCAGCATCTATTTTTATTTCTAAAAATAAGAATTCTGAGGGCTAAATTTAAATTTAAAATTAAATTGCTTTAAACTGGTAGATGGCACCTGTTTGCATGTGAATAAATTGATTGTAAATTTTCATAGACTTTTTAAAATGAAATTGTTATGCAGTTTTTCATGATAAAAAATTAGATATTTTGGAGTGTTCATGTGTGGTTTTTCTAAAGGTGTTAGAAAAAAATCTAACATTAGTAGAAAGATTTTTAGGAATTTAATAAAATCATCTTTATAATTAGTTTGAATGCTGATAGCAGATTGGTTCCCAGGGCGTTGGGAGTCCAGAGGGATCTGGCATCAGAACTAGATTCAGAAGCCATATCCATAAATCAGGACAGCCCAGAGTCTAGAGCCAAAGTCAAGGGTTAACTGGGATCAGAGTTCAAAAGCCAGAGCTGAAAGCCAACCCAGAATCATGAGCAGGGAATGCCAAGGGTCTTACCAGGAATGGAAGCCAAAGTTGGAGCCAGGAATCAAAAACCAGAAGCCTAACAAGGAAATGCCTGGGAGGTCAGAAGCAAGAACTTTTGCCTTTGCCCAGATAGGGATACTGCAGGCTGTACCTACATTTTAAGGGCTGGGGCAGGTGGGGCTTGTTGCCTGTGGCCTCGGGGAGCTAACTGCCTTACTCAGTCCAGCTAGGATCAAGGTAGAGTTCCAGGCTTGCTGCAGGTGGTGCCTGTTCAGAGAATGACTTACTCTGATCTCTTGATTGGGAATGGCTAGGTCAAGGGTTCTGGCTTGGCCTTGTTGCATGAACCTAGAGAAAGGAAAGATCCACACTCCAACTGGCATAACACTAAAATAGAAAATCAGTACAGTTCAGTTCCTTGATGCACCAGAAAAGTAGAAAAATCCCCTTTTCCACAAAAAAGTTATGTTTTTTTTCTTAAAAAGAGGGGAGGGGTGGAGGATTATTGCTGTATTTTGATGGCCAGTTTAGTGTCTGTATGTTTTGAAAAATTGCCTTTTAAGGAGATAAGAGATAAAACATGCAGTCAATCCACTGAAAAGTTGTCTATTGAGAAGGCAGCACATCTCCCTCTAAGGTATATAGAATCTATCAGGTTCCATTAGCTAGTGATATTTGTCAAACAGGTTCTTTGCCCTAGAGGGTAGTAGTGTCCCAACTGTCCTTAGTCTGTAAAATAAAATACTACTTGCTCTTAGCTTGAGATCTGGTTTTGTGCAAATGTTTTCTGACTTAGTCGTCATCTCTGATATATCTGTATGCATGCTCTGAAGTAATGCACTCTGAGATGCTGGAGGATGGTACTGTGACTTTTATAGGAAGGGTAAGCCTATATGCATTCCTTCTCCCAGAAGAAGCATCTCCCAAGAGATACTTCTACCTGGTTGGAGTTGGGTTAATTTTATCTTGAAACCACCATTTTTGTTTCGGGAGAAACTGTGTGAACATTTGTACACTTACAGTTTCTACCAGGAGAACTATGATTCTCCCACTTGAAACATAGTGCTTGTATGCACCCAACTATTTAAGCTATATACCCAAGTATATAAGCTAATTCCTGATATAACCTTACACGGATAACTTTATCTTGTTTTGAGAGAGTTTTTTTGTAGGAGGCTGGGTGTCAAGAATAAACTCTTTTTTCAGTATAATATGTCTTTTATACAATCATTTATTCATATGAAAGACATAGCTGGATTGATAGCTACATTACAGCAGGTGAGTTTCCAGAACTGTATAGTTATTTCAGTTATCAAAGTACATGGACTTTTTTTAAAGAGGCCTGAATTTGTGTATTTTGTACATCAGGTTTTATGTCTGCCAAGGAAACCTTTACCCTTTCTTTGGAAACATGCAATACATAAAACCTTTAAGAGTGTTTGATGGATGGCTTTGGCAATATCAGTGTAGCATCTGAGATGTGAATGGTTGGGTTGAACAGAGAAGCAGAATTTCAGCTGAAAATCCTTGTGAAAGAGAGAAATCCTTGGTACAAGAAAAATTATTCAAGAGCAAAATTTGTGAGTTGGATAGATGTTGAAAGCTGGCACTGACTGATGATGGCTTAATAGAAAAATAGTTCAGTCAATGGCCAACTGGTAAAACCAGATAAAGTATGGATTCATATTTTCAACTGTTTGGCACCAGTAGGTCTGAAGTTCCTGCTGCTTTGCACTATTGTTTTGCTTTATGCTTAATGTGGGAAAAAGTGTAGTTTTAATGACAAAGATTTAACTTGTGAATGTGTGACAGGAAACCATAGAGTTCAACATTTTTACGTGACCAGTACACTAATGCTTTCAGTCTGGTTAAAATTATAATGCTGTAAAGCACAAAACCACATTATACAGCTAGCTACTAGAGTGGCTTTTTCTAAATGGATTTGGTGGGTTTTTTGAGGAAAAAGCAGTATTGGCAACTGTGTCTTTTCTGTAAAATAATAATACTATTGAAATTGCTTGGCTCACCCTAGATATTATCTCTGAATATTTTGGATTGGTAAAACCACTTTATTTTTCTCCTTTCCTTAGAAAATTTATTTTTTTCTGTTAAATCAAAAAATTCCCGATGTGACTTGTTCCTGTCACTCTCTCTAATAGATCTACATTAAAACACATGATTTCTGATTCTGTGTTAGAATTAATTAGTTATCGTAGAAAAATGTTAGCTATAGTCTGTCAGTATTTTCCAGGATAGAATGTGACAGAATATTCTTCCCTGTGATCCATGCCCAGAGAACAATGTCTGACATTGAGAAATGCTTGCAAAACTGCATACAATTACAAAACACAAAATACTAGATAACAGAAATGGTTGTTGTAGATGAAGTGAGATTTTTTCCAGAAGAAACAAACCCAAAAGATTTATGATGAAATCAGATAGGAGTGAAAAAAACACATTAAGCAATCTGTGCTTCAGTGCAGTAGAGGAACAGGAAGAGTAAAAGCCAAAAAATGGCAGTAAGCTATAGAAACACAGAAGGAACAAATCAATGGATGTATTAGGTCAGTGGCGATGTGCACCCCTGGGAGCGCTGGTGCACCCCCTGACAGCCAGCGCTCCCTGCTTAGGTGACGGGCAGGGGGGGCAGGCAAGAGTGCTGGTGCCCCCCCGAGAGTGCTGTCTGGGGAGTTGGGAACTCCAGGGGAAGGGATCCCTGCAGTCCCTCTGCCAACAGTGCACAGTGGGGACCCCCTTGGCAGCACAGTCGGCCGTGGGGGGACTAAGTAACTGACTAGCTGCTGTGGGGGCAAGTGCCCCCCCCGGTTCAGGAGGCACCAGTCGCCCTTGCATTAAGTACCTCAGTATTTGCTCAGCTGTTCAGTACCGAGAATAATTGAACATTTAAATTGAACTTCGAAGGGTTTATGTAAGTTTTGCGCACACAGTAGAAAAAGTAAAAGCTATTATCTTTTTGGCATTACTAAAACAAAAGATAAGAAGCTCTAAGAGAAAATAACATCAGAAATGTGGAAGACTCCTTACAAAATCTAAGATTTTTTTCACCAAAAGAAGAGAAGCATGGGTATCCAAAAAAGGAGTCTAATAAAAAAGAGTGATCTTGTGAACTATTCAGTTTAGAGTGTTCCAAAAGATTATAATTGGCACAATATAAGGAACAGTTGACAAACTATTAAAGAATATAAAGAGCGTTTTCCAATAACTTAACTTACGTGTTAATTAAATATTTACACTAAGAAGGGTGACTGAAAAGGTATTGAAGATTAGATATTGATTTCTGTGGATCTTTATAGCATTGTTAATATATCTGGTAGTTTGACTATTGGACTGTTGGCTACAAATGTTCAACTCGGGATCCTTAAAATTCTAGTTTATTAGGCAGATTGAAACGCTGTAATCATAAACCTTGGGGCTGGTCCCCACACATGCACACATGCATACACATACACTCACACAGTAGCAGGCTACAGAGTCAGGTATACCTATCCTACAAGCGCTGGAGTCTGGCGTTGAGGCTTCTTTCAGCATGGTGTTATCTTCCAGAAGTGGGTCGCTGGCTGATCCTTCTGGCTGGACAGGTCTGGTCGAGTTGGAGATCAAGAGGGCGCCACTGAGGGTCACTTTTCACTGCCTTTTATCTGTCCCTGGCAGACTTTGGTGACTCCCCAGTTTTCAGGTTTGCCCAATCCAGGGGTCGTTGACCCTCGTGGGACTTCCCCCCCCCTCCCCCCCCCCCCCGGGGCTACGCCGCCGC